CCGGCAGTCCCTGGGGCGCGCCTCGCAGAGAGGCGGCCCGAGGCTCGCCCTCTGCCCCGTCGGGAGGCTATTCCTCTCGCCCTGCTGCCTTCCGTTGCGCGCCGCCGCTCCGTGTCCATCGGCTCCTTGGGCCCTTCGGGCGCCATGGACGGGGAAAAGGCTCGTGGGCTCGAATCGCCGTGAGGCAACCAGGTACTGGGGGAACGGGTGGTTATTATTGTCGTCAGCATTACTATTCTTGGTATTCGTACACCAATTATTTTGATAATGAATAGTACTTGCCATTTCCTTTTCTAAGTATAATTATATTGCATTCTATCATCTTATATTAAACGATGTTATATTATATGGTACTATATATATATATCATATGTTTTATTGCTATATATTGCATGGTCTTGAAGTGTGCTATAATATATGGCTGTATACCATATTCTAGTGTATCATATTATAATATTCTAAATAAGACGGTCGTGCATTCTATTTTACCATATCACATGGTACTGCATTACACTACATGGTTTTATAGTAACGGATATTGAGACATGACGTATTCTAGTATGTCAGATCATATGATATGATCGTAATGTATACGTGGCTGCAGTATAGAATATTATAACATGCTACATGGGAGTCTATGATGTCATAACATAGACTAGTGTGTTACAACTCATATTTTAATCGCGTATCCTGTTTTACAATATTTTTGAGTATATTACGCTATGTTGTGTTATTTTCTATCACAGGATACATTTCATTGTTATTATTGTTATCATTATTACATATGTATCATTCGTATCCTGACTTTGCATACTACTATTGTTTTCATTAGCTGCTTTCATTATTTGTATTATTATCACTAGCATCCTTACTTCCATTCTTCTTTTGATAATAATAATAATTATTATTTTGTTTTCTTGTTGTTGTTGTTGGGGTGGGGGCTCCTCCCCGCGGCCCATCCCCGCGGCTCGCTTCTGAGAGGCGCAGGCGGGCGTCGAGCGCCTTTTCCCGCGCGCACCACGCGCGCACGACGCCTGCGAGGGGGCGCCAGTCCCCACCCCAACAAAAAGGGGGGTCCTGGGGGAACGGGCCAGATGTTTTCGTCGCTTTCCGCCCCTCGGAGCCGTCCCTGGGGCCCGAGGCCATCAGAAAACGATTCAGGATGAAGGTTTGGTCCTGGCGGAAGGCCCCGGCGTCCTGGACCCGTTTCCCTCGGGACGCGTGCTCTTCATGCCATGCAGCGGCAGCCAAGCGAGGGACTCTTCGCACGATGTGCTAGATCGGTGTTTGAATCTTCTTTGGGCGGACCTTCCCCCGGAACACGTTCCGCCCCCTGACCTAGCTGATGCTGCAGTTTCTTCGTCTCGATTTTCGTTGGCACCTGGGGTTGCGAACGTACTTGTTAGCCAGCGTGGATCCCAAACCGTAGTTTCTTCCCAAACCGTAGTTTCTTGCCATGCCTGTAGTGCAGTCTACGTCGTGCGTTCTATGTGGTGCAATCTTTGTGGTGTGAACTATGTGGAGTAGCATATGGGGGGCAACATATCTTTCAATATATAATTAATAATATCATTATATATATATTATATATATATCTATATAGGTATACGCACATAGATATGTGAAAGAGAGTGTTCTAACCGCTGCTGGCGGGAAACCGGGGGGGTCACTACCGGTGCGAACCCCTCCTCCTCCCCCCCCCCCCCCCCCCTCCGGAAAAACCGGGGGGGGTCACTTACTGGTTCGAACCCCTCCCCCCCCCCCCAGCTCATCATTGAAAAAGGGGGGGGGGGTCACTACCGGTCGAACCCCTCACCCCCCCCCCCCTCGAAAAACCGGGGGGGGTCACTACCGGTTCGACCCCCCCCCCCCCTCGAAAACCGAGTGGAGGTGCGGACAGTGGTGGTGACGGTGTTGGTGGGGACAGTGGTGAGGGGATAGCGGGACAGTGGTGGGGACAGTGGGACAGTGGGACAGTGGTGGGGACGGTAGTGGTGGGGACAGTGGTGGGGACAATGGTGGGAACAGGGGGGGACAGTGGACAGTGGTGGTGACGGTGGTGGTGGGGGACAGTGGTGTGGGGACAATGGGAATGAGGTGGAAACAGTGGGACAGTGGAGGGTACAATGGTGGTGGGGACAGTGGTGAAGGCGGTGGCGAGGACGGCGGTGGGACAATGGGACAAAGGTACAGTGGGGACAGTGGTGGGGACAGTGGGGACAGTGGTGGGAACAGTGGGACAGCTCAGTGGGACAGCGGAGGAGTCAGTGGGGACAGTGGGGATAGTCGGGCAGTGGTTGGGGCCGTGGAGACAGTGGGGAGAGTGGAACCGTGGTGGGAACAGTTCTGGGGACAGCGGGGACAGTGCGACAGTGGTGGGGCCACTGGTGGGGACAGTAGGGGCGGTGGTGGAACCAGGGGGGACAGCGGTGGTGAGGACAGTGGTGCTGGGAACACCAGTGGGGGATGTGATGCGGACGGTGGTGGGGACCGGGAGTCGTTTGCTGGCGGTGAGTAGGGGGGGGGGGGAAAGGGGGGGGGTTACGAACCCTCGGTAGGAATCCCTCCGGTTTTTACGGATAAGGGGGGGGGGGAGGTTCAAACGGTAGTGGACCCCCCCCGGTTTAGGATGATCCGGAGGGGGGGGGGGGGGGGCGAGGGGTCGACTGAGAGTGAACCCCCACGGTTTTCGAGCGGGGAGGGGGGGGGGGAGGGGTGGGGAGGGGGGGTTTTTGCCGGGGGAAGAGGGGGGGCGATGGGTTCAGATCCCAACCGGACGCGTGAGATCCCAACCGGACGGGTCAGATCCCAACCGTCTAAAACACCAGGCACGGTCAGATCCCAACCGAGGAGGAACCGAATAAAGAAAACATATTGAAAAGTCACCAGATTTGCTCATTGAAATCTGAAATTGCGATGGACACCTTAAAGGAGCAGAGTTACGCCTGAGTGGTTGCGGTTGGGATCTTGCGCGTCTTTTGCTGAACCAAAGTAGTAGTAGTAGTAGTAGTAGTAGTAGTAGTAGTAGTAGTAGTAGTAGTAGTAGTAGTAGTAGTCGTAGTAGTAGTAGTAGTAGTAGTAGAGGCGTAGTAGTGAGTAGTTAGTAGTTAGTAGTTAGTAGTAGTAGTAGTTGTAGTAGTAGTAGTAGTAATATTAGTAGTGAGTAGTAGTATTAGTGTAGTAGTAGCCGTATAGTAGTAGTAGTAGTCGTTAGTAGTTAGTAGTAGTAGTAGTTAGTAGTTAGTAGTAGTAATAGTAATAGTGGTAGTAGTAGTTAATAGTGGTAGTAGTAGTAGTAGTAGTAGTAGTAGTAGTAGTAGTCGTACTGGAGTTTAGTAGGTAGTAGTGTAGTAGTAGTAGTAGTTAGTAGTAGTAGTCGTAGTAGTTTTCGTAGTCGTTAGTCGTAGTAGTAGTAGCTCGTAGTAGTAGTAGTAGGTTAGGTAGTAGTAGTAGTAGTAGTAGTAGGCGTAGCAGAAGAAGTAGTAGTAGTAGTAGTAGTAGTAGTAGTATTAATAGTAGTAGTAGTAGTAGTATTAATAGTAGTAGTAGTAGTTAGTTAGTTAGTTAGTTAGTTATTTAGTTAGTTAGTTAGTTAGTTAGTTAGTTATAATAGCAGTGGTAGTACTAGTAGTAGTAGTAGTAGTAGTAGTAGGAGTAGTAGTAGTAGTAGTAGTAGTAGTAGTTGAAATACTTGTGGGAGGTGTAGTAGCATCAGTAGTGGTAGTGTCAGTACAAGTCGTAGTAATAGTAGTGGTAGTAGTACCTGTGGAGGGTATAGTATTACAAGTAGTAGTGGTTGTAGTAGTAATAGTAGTAGTAGTAGTAGTAGTAGTAGTAGTAGTAGTAGTAGTAGTAGTAGTCGCCGTAGTAGTAGTAGTAGTTCGTAGTAGTAGTAGTAGTAGTAGTTAGTAGTAGTAGCCGTTAGTAGTAGTAGTAGTAGTAGTATAGTCGTAGGTATAGTAGTAGCTAGTAGTAAGTGATACTAGGAATAATGGATGTAATACGATTAGAATTCGCGTTGGTAGTACCAGTTCCAGTATAGTAGTAGTAGTAGTAGTAGTAGTAGTGTAGTAAGTAGTAGTAGTAGTAGTAGAGTAGTAGAGTAGTAGCAGTTAGGATTAGTAGTAGTAGTAGTAGTAGTGAGTAGTAAGTAGTAGTAGTTAGTAGCTAGTAGGAGTACAAGCAGTAAGTTGTATAGTCGAGTAGTAGTCAGTCGTGAGTAGTAGTAGTAGTAGTAG